AAAGACTCGCAGTCACAAAAAGAGTTGCTTTAGCAATGCGGAGACTAAACAGCATGGATAACCTATAACACAGCAGCTGCAAGGCAGTTAAAGTTACAGTTTTGAGATCATGCATCTTCCAGTGGCAACTTTAGGATATTTGTCATGAACTTGTGCTCAATCACTGAAGAAAAACATCAGAGCTTTGCGAACTGAAATGCTACAGAAAAATTCTCAGAATATCAAGGACCAAGAAGTATAAAAACACCGGCAAATCTACACAATCTGAGCATCGAGGAGAATTGGCTCATAGACAGCATCCTTCCCGAAAGCTGGGATATTCGGGACATATTGAAAGTCATGGGGGAGCCGCTGTCTTGTAGCAGCTAGATTACTACCTGCGGATCAGAAGGTAATGGTTTCAAGTCCCAACAAAGCCAGACTTTATTTTCTATTTGTTTTTTATTTGACCTTGGTTCCCAGGTTGACCTAGCCTCTAAGTGGGTACTAGGTAAATTCCTGGGAAGTAAAGGTGGCTGGCTTGATGCTGACCACATCACCCACCAAGAACTGTTTGGTCTATAAAATACAGGTCTAGCCCTAAATGCCTGAAGACGGGGAAAAGGGTCCTTTATTTTACCTACTTAAATGTCACAGAAACCTGGAGACTGGAAAATGATGTAGAAGCAGACCTCCGTGAAAGCAGATACAAGACATAAAAGATGCATAGCTATGAAAGCATAAAGGGATGGAAAACTGGCTAGAGAATGAGAGACTTTCAGGCATGCCATGACGAGAGCAACATTCTGTCAAAGATCTGCTGATTAATGATGATGATGATAGGTGTAGTGTTATTTTCCTTTGATTTCCTAAGAGTTTATTACCACGTGAATGATCAAAAAATGTGTAAACTTCTTCTTCTTCATTTACCTTTTGAATGGTGATTGCCATGTTGTGCTGTTCTTTACAGCTAGGCTGTAACATGTGCATCTTTCAGCTCAACACATCAGATTTCAGCAAACACTTTCTTCTTCTTCTCCGGTCCTTTATCCCTGAATGGAGCATATCCCCCTCAACAAGCTCATGCCAAGTCATCACATCCTCTGCTATTACATGCAGCTCCTCCCAAACTTTTAAACTTGAGTGGGTACCAGAAAAAAAGTCATGGGAAGTAAAGGCAGCCGGCGCAATGTTGACCAAATCACCCACCAAGTAACGACTTGTCTATAAAATATAGATCTATGCCCAATATGCCTGAAGCAGTGGCAAAGGATCCTTTTTATTCTGGGCTGTATTATTTCTGGGTTATGTCTTTTTTTAAGCTGTCTTAATTTTTGGATTGTGTCTTATTTGTTGGGGTTGTTTTATTTTTGCGTTATGACTTATTTTTAGGTTGTCTTGTTTTGGAATTATGTCTTATTTTGTTGTTGCCTTTTTTGGGGGGGATTATGTCTTATTTTTAGGTTATGTTTTATTTTCAGGTTCTGACTTATTTTTTGGGTTATGTCTTATGTTAGGCCCGTATCTGACTTTTTTGGGTTGTCTTGTTTTTCTTTTGCATTATGTCTTATTTTTCGGTAATGTCATTTGTTTAGATAATGTCTTATTTTTGGATTATGTCTTATTTTCAGGTATGGTCTTATTTTTGAGGAAGGAAACATTATAGTTTAAATTTAGGCAATCTTTTTTTTTTTTTAAAATCTTTCTGAATGTTTATGTTTAAACTGTGGTTCCAGTAAGAAGGAACATGTGAGGGGAGATAAATCCTACATCCACAGTATTACTGAAATCACATTTTCTGCCCCTTACAACCATTTGCTGAGGGAGTTGATGCACTAATATATTTAACTTAGGGACTTTGCCAATTTGTCATAAACCATCAACAATGAATGAGCTTTAATTCATCTGGAAAAAAAAAACAGATGAAGGTTTTATGTATGAGTGTATTACATAATAAGGATTACCCAGGGTAAAAGAGCATTACATCATATAAGTGACCCAAAGTAAAACATAATTACGTCTTTTGGGTCACCCCAGAATAAAGAAGTATCACATTATATGAGTGAACCAGAATCAAACACTATTACATTATACTGGTGAGCCAAAGTAAAACCGTATCATATTCATATGGTGACCCAGAACAAAATAGTATTACTGGAACATTATATGGACAATCCTAAGTAAAATAGTATTATATTATATGGGTAACCTAGAGTAAAACAGTATTACACTATATAAGTGAACCAAATTAAGACAGTATTACATCATATGAGTTGCACAGAATAAAACAGTATAACACCACATGGATTATTCACAGTAAAAAAAATAATTACGTCAGAAGGATGGCCAAGAGTAAAACAATAGTACACCACAAGGATTACCCAAAGTAAAACAGTATTACGTCATGCAGATTATCTACAGTAAAAGGTATTACACAAGGTCAGTAATCCAGAGTAAAACAGTATTATATTATATGGGTTACCCAAACTAAACTTCAGAATCATGCACAATGCTTCAGATATACTGACAAATTCCAAATATACAAGATTACCAGTAAATGTCGAGAAGGGGCTGGCCGAACAGTTAGAATGCTGGACTCTCATGCAGGAGACCTGGGTTTGAATCCTTGGTAAGGCTGGAGATTTTTTCTGTCGGGGGGGAAAATAAAATCCTCACCTGCACAGGCGGCCTTAAATCCTGAGACTAAAAAGACCCCCCTGCCTACACCGCAGAAGTGGTATATAAAGGCAGTAACTGGCAGTTTTGGCAGTTGCTAGTAAATGTCATATTAAGAAAAAGAAAGTACTTTACAATGCTTCCTCTTCTTCAGCATTTGGAGTCCTTGAGTTTCACTGGTGCAGATATCACCCACTTCCATTCATCTCTGTGACTGAACTTCCCTTTCCAGCTGGTGACTCAAAGTGTTTGTGGGTCTGCCTGATTATCTTACCACCATTCTTATTAGTCTGTCCCATGATCTGCTCCCATTCAAATTTTTTGTGCATATAGCTGCTGTCTCTCTAATTCTGCCATTCTCTCTAGATGCCCAAAACACTGCAGTCTGTTAGCATTTATGATACCAGTTTCACCAGCAAAACCAGGTGAGGGTAGCCAATGCTTCTTTCCATCTGTGAGTTAGGATCTGCCTATCCAAGCATGCAAAGACTACTGTCAGCAAAATGTGCGGAGGAAACCATATTTGGTTCAACGGGCAAGACGGCGACACTAGCAAAGCGCTGTGGAGCGCATACAGCATGGCGAGGCATGTAGAACGCCCTCGTCATACACTGCACCTAGACATATCTCCAGTCGTCCTGACTCTGTCTTGCCAGTGTACCCAGATATGACTTAGGCGAGAGAATGAGGTCAACTCTTCCTCACTTTAATCCAAGTCACCGCGCAAGTCACTCTTTCATCTTCACAACAACATGGTGTCAGTAACTACTGATCATTTCGTTGAAACATATTAACTTTAAGGGTTGAAGGTAGGAGGATCGACTTCATGGCACTAGGGCTTTTATTCCATATGGATAATCCTCAGGGACTTCCGTAAAATGTCCACTTGGAAACCAAACTATGCAGCTGTAGAAATGAACTGCATTGACCCTTATAAGGCTAACATGGCCCGCCCAATCATGTGAGATGACGAAACATGCACACGTTAGCTTCTCAGCGGGCAGTTATGGTAATGATCACCAGGGTTTTGTGTGTAAATGTTATTCTGATGGCACGCAATGGTGTGCAGCACCAGCATCTTTTTCAAGGCATCATTTTTTTTTCTTCTCAGCATTCAGTAATAGATACTTTGTGGTGCGTACAGGAACTTTATTTGACACTCTGCAGTAAGCACCAACAATTTTTTTTTATCTTTTTTTTTTATCCAGCAAAAAAAAAAGGCTTGATGATGATCAATTATTTAAATATGGGTGCTTGCACTGTATACTCATTACATATCCAGACACTGGAAATGGCCCTTTGATTTTTGACAGCAGACGGTAAAAGATGTTGCAGATCTGTAGCAGTCTTGATGATAATGTCTAGGTATCATAATCCACTGTGATAATGAACCTTTATTAATAAATCATATTCCACTGTGAAAATGTAACATACTCCACTGTAAAAATGTATCATACTCCACTGTGAGAATGTATCATACTCCACTGTGAAAATGTATCATATTCCATTGTGAAAATGTATCATATTCCATTGTGAAAATGTATCATGCTCCACTGTGAAAATGTATCATGCTCCACTGTGAAAATGTATCATGCTCCACTGTGAAAATGTATCATATTCCATTGTGAAAATGTATCATATTCCATTGTGAAAATGATCATGACTATCTAAAAAATGTATCATGCTCCTCCACTGTGAAAATGTATCATGCTCCACTGTGAAAATGTATCATATTCCATTGTGAAAATGTATCATGCTCCACTGTGAAAATGTATCATGCTCCACTGTGAAAATGTATCATATTCCATTGTGAAAATGTATATGCTCCATTGTGAAAATGTATCATATTCCATTGTGAAAATGTATCATGCTCCACTGTGAAAATGTATCAAACTTCACTGTAACGATGCATTACACTCCAATGTGAGCAATGTGTCTTGATGATATGTCACATTCTACTGTATATATCATACTAAACTTTGACAATGTAACATACTCTACTTGACAACGTATCAGGACTAAATATCATATGCACAATGAATGACTGTATTATACTTCACTACTTCACTGTGCCAATATGTCATGAGAATGTATCATTTGAGAATATATCATGCCAATGTATCATACTCCCCTCTGACCATTTATCACGGCTATGTATCAGTCCCCACTGTGACAATGTGTCATCAGTTTGTATTATAATTCACAATGACAATATTTCACGAGAATGTATCATATGGCAATTGTATCATAGTCAGGAATCTCTGAAAACGAAACACCTCACAGAAAAATTCTGCCCGCCTACCCTTTCTCACGTCTGCAACAAAATCCACATATAAAACAGCTAGTCACGAGTAGTGCTCTGCGAGGCTGTAGTCATCCAAGCGACAGAGAAACTCTTTGTTGTCCTTTAACAAGAGGAACTCCTGAAGTCTTGGAGGCACCGGCAGGGCTGGAATCACATTGGGTAAAAATTTGGGCCCTAAAGACCTCCTAATCTGCCTTCTACATAAGTCCAGCAATGAGCGAGCATTCTTGCATAAGGGTCGCATAATTTCACTCAGTCTGTTGTCTTTGGCGATGATCGATAATGGCTGACCATCCTCATCCATGAGATCAAACTGCCCAGATGCTTTAATTAGAAGTTCTAGAGTGGCATCATCTTGCTCATTGTTGAGACCGCTGGCCTGAAAAGAAAAACATCAATGCCTAAGATTTTATTCTTTAATGCTATAATTCTTGTTTAACAAATTTCAGTGACAAACTATGAACAGGCTTGATTATACAGCTGGATTATAGGATCCTAACATTTATGGTTTCATGTGGAGAAAAACAATAAAAGACTTGATCATTCTTAATTTACAAAGGGAAAAGCAGGAACAGATAAGATCTGACCACACAATCCTACGAGTTAATGTTTTATGAATACTATAAACATGAACAAATTTGGCTTGAACATACAATCCTGCCAATATTGTTATGTGAAGAGAAAAATATGAACAGATAAGACTTGATACTAAAAACCTTCTGAAAATAAAAATGGCAGCTCTTTCTCATCTCAACTGACTAAGACATTTCTTCTTTTTCATCTTTAGCATTCAAAACCCCTGAGGTTCATTGCTGCAGATATCATTTGCCTCTATTCATCTCTTTGATTGGCCTTATTTTGCTAGTTTAAAGGTCTGCCTGGATATAATCTCTCCACCATCTTCTTGTTCTGGGTCAATTTCCAGTCAATGCTTTTGCATATGCAAGTTTTTGTCGCTCTGTTGTCTGCCATTCTCTCTACATGTGCAGTCTATTAGACAAAGATATACTGACAAGAATATTATTCACCGTGGGAGGGGTTGCCTTTAATTAAACTATTCTACATTTTATTTCTTTAACTCTTTTAGTTTGAGCTAACTGTTGCTTCAGCGATTCTATCACCAAGTCTGTGTAATTTTGAATATAAATCTTTGAATGCCAGCAATGAAAAATGTCTAAAAGAGTAAGGGGGAAGCTCTTTTAATTACTACTGGTACCTGCACAGAGGAAGTCACCGTGGCCGAGCGGCTAGACGCTCGCCGCCGATCGGAAGGTCGTGGGTTGGCTCCCTGGAGGAGCCGGACTTTTTTCAAAAATGACCTTGGCTCCCAGGTCGACCCAGCCTTGAGTGGGTACCGGGTGTAGTCCAGGGAAGTAAAGGCGGCCAGCGTGATGCTGACCACATCACCCATCTTGTGCCGATTGGTCTATAAAAATATAGGTCTAGCCCTATATGCCTAATGACGTGAAAAGGGTCCTTTACTTTTTACCTGTACAGAAAACAGGCAATTAATTGTTATAACAGAATCACTAGTGTAAGGCTTTAAGGCAGAACTAAACAACTGTAGTAAATCAAGTAGTGAAGAAAAGATGTTGAGGTGATGAGAAAACCTAACAATAACTACAATGTCTTCCCACTTTGGCATACACGTTAGTTTCACTGGAACGCACAGGGTCAATGGTAGACTCCCCCCCCACCCCCACACACACACATACCCACACACACACACACATACCCACAACACACACCACATACCCACACACACATACCCACACACACACACATATACCCACACACACATACCCACACACACACACATACCCACACACACATACCCACACACACACATATACCCACACACACACATACCCACACACACACATACCCACACACCATACCCACACACACACACATACCCACCACACCACACATACCCACACACACATACCCACACACACACACATACCCACACACACACATACCCACACATACCAACCCACAACACACATACCCACACACACACACACATACCCACACACACACATACCCGCCCACACACACACATATACCCACCCACACACACCCACACATACCCACCCACACACACATACCCACCCACACACACCCACACATACCCACCCACACACACATACCCACACACACACACACATACCCACACACACATACCCACACACAAAAACTAGCAGAAGGAAGCTAGAGAGTGCAGTGAAAAAGATAGGGAGGATAAGTGAGCTGCACACAACAATAAGAGACAGGACAACCTGGCGTGAGCTGCACACAACAATAAGAGACAGGACAACCTGGCGTGAGCTGCACACAACAATAAGAGACAGGACAACCTGGCGTGAGCTGCACACAACAATAAGAGACATGACAACCTGGCGTGAGCTGCACACAACAATAAGAGACAGGACAACCTGGCGTGAGCTGCACACAACAATAAGAGACAGGAACAACCTGGCGTGAGCTGCACACAACAATAAGAGACAGGACAAACCTGGCAGCTGCACACAACAATAAGAGACAGGACAACCTTGGCGTGAGCTGCACACAACAATAAGAGACAGGACAACCTGGCGTGAGCTGCACACAACAATAAGAGACAGGACAACCTGGCGTGAGCTGCACACAACAATAAGAGACAGGACAACCTGGCGTGAGCTGCACACAACAATAAGAGACAGGACAACCTGGCGTGAGCTGCACACAACAATAAGAGACAGGACAACCTGGCGTGAGCTGCACACAACAATAAGAGACAGGACAACCTGGCGTTGAGCTGCACACAACAATAAGAGACAGGACAAACCTGGTGTGAGCTGCACACAACAATAAAGGACAGGACAACCTGGCGTGGAGCTGCACACGCCAATAAGAGACAGGACAACCCTGGCGTTGAGCTGCACACAACAATAAGAGACAGGACAACCTGGCGTGAGCTGCACACAACAATAAGAGACAGGACAACCTGGCGTGAGCTGCACACAACAATAAGAGACAGGACAACCTGGCGTGAGCTGGTTAACAGCTTCTGCTCCCTTGGGAGATAATGGGCAGAATAATCTTTGGGAGATAAAGGGCAGAATAATCTTTGGGTATTCATCATCATCATCTTCTTGTGCCATTTCATATCATACTGGGCTCGCAGCCTATTCTTACATTCCATCCTATGCAACTGTTTCAATAACATGGATGGAGTCCAGTCCAGCATCTTTGGCCTCCCTCAGCAATGTTCCTCTTTTGGTTTCTTGATCCATTTGTTTCCCATTTAAGTGCCTGTTTGATGATTCTTTGTTCAACCTCCCTCAGGATGTGCACAAAACACTGCCATTTTCTTGGTCTTATAACTGTTGATACCAGCGCTGTCCATACACTTCTCTTACTTCTTCATCTTTCTTAGATTCATTAACTTTAATGTCGTTACTTTTCTTTGACATTTCCTTTTTGAATGCACTCAACTTTTGCTTCATTTTTTTTAGTGGTTCTCAGTATCTGCTTCTTCTAAGCATTCACTGGATGTAATGTAAACTCTGGTGGAAAGTTCTGGTTGTTCGTCCATTTCTAGACTTGTTCTTGTTTCAGAACTTAAGTTTTGTGTGCACATCCATTTTACCATTTTACAGAACCAACTTTTTTGTATGCAGACTGTTGGTTCCTCACCTCTTGGGCAGATGCACTCCAACTTTGAAGGAAACTCCCTTTATTAGTTGCCTTGTAGGACATGCTTGTAAGGGAGGCAGTGGGTCTAATCTTTTTGCTCTAGAACTCAAAGGGGGATATTCTGAGTGCTAGAAAACTAATTACTGCATCTAAGAAGATCAGCTACAACAGCAAGAGGATGGCTGTGAAAAATATGGATCAACGACATTAAAGACTCTCTACACCAGAGTTATTCCCCTAAGTTTACTCAATGGCCGAAATACTGAAAATGGGGATTTTCACAGGCCAGAAGCCCTAGACCCAGCACAAAATGATCCTTAAACCAAGGCAACTGGTGACGATCCGCGGGCCACTTGCTAGGTCTATGCGGGCCAGATCTGGCCCGTGGGTCGCCAGTTGAATAGCCCTGCTCTGCATCTTCATGACAACAGCCAGTGGCCGCCAGCGTGCACTGGATCACAGATTACTCCTCCCCACGGCATATAATGTCAGAAGTGGTGTATGATGATGATGATGATGAGAAAGATAATTAAATTATAAATGCAGGCATTAAAGAGTAAAAACTTGGATACAATAAATAATTGTAAAACATTGAGGGAATAGATGAACATAAGAAACATATAATATATATTGTAACCAAAAACATGGTGAGTTAAAAGAAAAAAAAAAGATCCTGTCTACGCCAGGGGTGCACAGGACATATGAAGACAGAACTATAGTTTATAGACCAATCAGCGCTTGATGAGTGATGGGGTCACAATCATGCTGTCTGTCTTTACTTCCGAGGATATTGCCTGATACCCAGGTTTAGACTGGGTCTTCTCTTCTTCTTTGGGTTAACCGGTATAAACTCCAAATGAAAGTTCTGGTTGTTCGTCCACTTCTGGACTTTGGTTTTGTTCCAGAACTTGCATATCAATTTTATAGATCTGGCTTCTTTTTATGCAGACTGTCGGTTCCTTGCCTCTGAGGCAGATGCACTAACTCTATGAAAGAAACACCTCTAATTTGATTTTTATAACATGCTTTTTGGAGGAACATTGGGTCTATTCTGATTTTGTCCCTCATGGGACCAAGGAACCCATAACGAAGGCTGAGTCACACTGTGAGCCAATGCAAATGTTGAAAAATAATACTGACTTGATGATTTGAAGCTAAAACTTTCCAGCCAGCAGGCATGTAACTAATATGCTACTGCATCACCTATGGTGAGTTGGCTGGCACTCAGATAGTTAAAATACCTTCCATGTGAAGACACACACACATGCATGCATGCACTCACACATAAATGGACAAACTTCACTTAGAAGGAGACAAAAACTGGACATACAAGTCCCTGTAACGGTCTGTCCTTCTGACCTCACTCCTTTCATATATTATTTCATTCGCAAACTTTCTCTTTCAGTCCGAGATTGTCCTAGCTGATGTCTTCTTATTTAACTTCTTCTGCGCTCACTAACAAAAGAAAGGAGGTAGCTAGTATGCTGTGTTGTGGTCTACAGCTAAGCTGCAATATCTGCACCACTCAGCCCAAAACATCTGATTTAATTAAATCCTTATTTAGCCACTATTTACAAATTCATTGTTGGGGCAAGGTGTGATCTAATCTCCTTCTTCTTCCCCCCACCATAAAAATGAAGTGCTGGAACACACACAAGGGTAGTTACTCTTAAACAACAATAACAACAACATAATCAAGGTACTTACAAGTAACTCTTCTGTGCTTTACATTCACACACACAAATATGTGCTTAGAACATACCTGCACAGCAGCTGATCTCTGTAAAGCTGTGTGGCCCCTGCGATTTCTGATATCAATGTCTGCATTGTAATCTAGCAGAACTAGGATTACATTCAGGTTCCCTGCAATAATATTTATTGGAATGAAACAAGATAATAGAAACGGCCACAATTACAATCAAAATATAATTAAGATATTGACACTGAAAGTAGGAAGGGACACAACAATAGAAATGGCCATACATACAATCAGAATAAGATTAGGATATTAACTTCGACTGTAGGAAGGGAAACAACAATAGAAATGGCCACATGTACAATCAAAATAGGATTCCAACATTAACATCGACTGCAGGAAGGGACACGACTGCAGGAAAGGACACAACAACAGAAATGACCACATGTACAATCAAAATATGATTCAGATATTAACACTGACTGCAGGAAGGGACACACATAAGTAAAGTAAAAGTACCCTTTTCCACAACTTCAGGCATACTGGGTATATAGGGCTAGACCTATATTATATAGACCAATCGCCACTCAGTGGGTGATGTGGTCAACATCTTTACTTTCCAGGACCTTTACCTGGTATCTATTTAAGAGTGGGGCCAAAAGGTCCAGCTCCATCAGGATCAAACCCATGACCTTCTGATCTGCAGGCGAGCATTTAGCCACTAAACCATGGCAGCTTTCCAAGGGACACACATAATAAATAAAATATTTAAAAAAATCCCTATCCCTTCTAATCTGTTAAATTCCAAGGACATCTTTAAAATTGGTTACTGGAATGTTAGAACCATGTACCAAACGGGGAAAACAGCTCAGGAAATATTAAATAGGCCAAATCCTGACATCATTGCCAATTTAGAAGAAGAAATTATTACACCAACACTAATTGCCTCCAGCGAGTCATTCACAATAGAGGAGATTAAAACAGCTATTAAAAAATTAAGAATAAACAAAGCTACCGGAGAGGACAACATCTCAGGAGAAATGCTCAAAGCAGCGGATAAAACACCCTGCAACATTTGCTCCAGCCTGATGGATGAAGTCTGGGCAAAACGAATACCCACCACAACAATGGAAAGATGGTGTAATCTTCAAATTACCTAAAAAAAGGTGATTTATCCGATTGTAACAACTGGAGAGGCATCACCCTGCTTTCGATACCAGGGAAACTATTTTGTAGTATGCTACTAGAAAGATTTAAAAATCCATAGATGAAAGATTAGGGAAGAACAAGCCGGTTTTAGATCCAAGCGGTCATGCATAGACCACATCTTTACTCTTAGAATAATTGTTGAAGATTCTACAGAATTCCAGTCGAAATTATTGATCAACTTTGTCGACTTTCAAAAAGCCTTCGACAGTATCCATCGTCCACACTCTGGAAATTGCTTAACATCTATGGTTTCCCCATCAAATATATCAACATCATAAATCTTTTTATAATGAAAAAACAAAACACGATGCTGTGTAAGAACTGATTCCGGCAATTCTGACTGGTTCCCGGTGGAAACAGGAGTGAAGCAAGGCTGTGTCCTATCGCCGATGCTTTTTGGTATAGCAATCGACTGGGTAATGCGCAAGTGCATAAATAACGCAAAATTTAGGCATTACATGGGTTGACAAAATTCTGGAAGACCTAGACTTCGCTGACGACATAGCACCTCCTGAGTTCAGAACACACAGACGCCCAAGAAAAAATCAATCGACTCCAGAATTTCTCAGAACAAATTGGACTCCAAATCAACACCGCAAAAACAAAAATTCTAGACCTTACCAACAGTTTTCAGTTGATATCACGCTGAACAACATCACAGCCTTGAAAAAGTCAACAGTTTCACTTATCTAGGGAGCAAGATGTCATCTACAGGAGATACCGCACAGAAATATCATTTAGAATAGCACTGGCATCTAGTGCCTTCAATAAACTGTCCTAACATCTGGAAATCAAAGACACTTAGCAAACCACAAACACTCAAGATCTTCAATTCTTGTGTGATTCCAGTACTAACCTATGGATGCGAGAGTTTGGAAATCAACGAAAACTCTAGACACAAAATTAGACAGTTTTGAAAATAAATGCCTTAGAAGAATACTAAATTTCAAATGGTCAGATTTCCGAACCAATACACAAATAAGGCAAGAATCCAGGCAAGAGTATGTGTCTAATTTTTATACGAAAACGCCGCTGGAACTATGTCGGCCACGTCCTTAGAATGGATAAATCAAGACTTCCTTACCAAGCCCTCATTTGGACACCACAGGGGAAGAGATCTCGTGGAAGACCAAGGGAAACCCTACGTAGAACTATCATCAGGGAAGGCTCGCTCATGGGCCACTCAAACATCCAAGACCTACAACGGATTGCAACGGACCGCCGTGCATGGAGAGTCACGACCTCTGCCCTATGTGCCGCACTCGACACAAGAGGAAAGACTAACTAACTAACTAACTAACTATCCCTGTCATGGCAGAAATAAACATTTTACCTTGCAAAGACAGTGGCAAGTGCATTAGCCTTAAATCTTTAGACTCATGACTCCTGCAGAAAAATCAAGATCAAAACCCTTGTATCTCTCTTAACGCTCAAAGAAGTATAAAAGAAAGTGAAGTTCAAGGAGAAGGGAAAGCATGAGCTATAACAACAAATACTGGCTCAGAAAGAGTTTTAAAAAATGTAATACACACATGCACCAAATGATACCACTACCTTTGCGTGCTGCCCAGCTGACTGGCGTATCATTGTTAAATCAAACAGCATTGACGTCTGCAAACCTTTCTGTAGCCAAGTCCTGACACAGCCAACATTTATTGTTGTATGACGCCCATGCAGAGCTGTGTCCAGGTTTGCCCGATCCCCTTTATTTACCTGGGCGCCATTTCTGAAATAAAATTAACTATTTAATGTTGGAATGTATTAAGAATCAACATCACAGGACGCACTCCGGTACACACCCCATCAGCGCTCCCTCTTTCATCTTTCAGCAGCAATAAGAAGAGTTTAAAAATTCCTATGCTACCAGTAACTGGCTGATTGCCATTATTCCGTCTTGCTTTTTTTCCCTGAGTGTCGAGCATCGGCCAGGATTCCCGCTATGTAACTCTTCGGCAGTGCCATTTTTTCTCCTCAGACCGCAATGGATTTATATCTGTGGCCTAGGCACTGTTGTGCTGTAGAGACTGTCCTGGTGGAAAATTTTACGCAACATTATGAAATTTCCAGAAAAAATAGTCCAACATAAACTGCTCTCTTCTATAAAGACTTTTTCCTGCAGTAATAAAATAATTACAATACACTCTTTCCCAGTAAAGACGGGTAGTAATGACAGGGATGTGTTATGTCATCTCTCCTCGTCAACTTTATGATTGATTGGATAACTAAAGAACACAGTAGACAGGACATTAAAGAGGCATACGATTGACTCCATATCAACCATGTCTTGAGGACCTTGAATTTTGGCGATGATGATATAGCACTCCCTATCACCATAAACATGAACATATACAGAGAAAGTAACATACTACACTGCACAGCAGAAAATGGTGGGACTGAGACTAAATACCGAAGAAGAACTAAGATCATGACAACATTCCATTCCAAACACACCAGTGACCATAAGTAACCAATCCCTTGAAAATGTAGAGACATTTTCACATATCTGCTTGGCATGTGTCGTGTCCCTACTGGGAGGGCCAGAGGAAGACCATACAATCACGCCAGAACAAAGCTAGAGCTGCGTTTTGGAAGGAATGAGGCAAAATCTGGAAATCCAACAATTACTGCAGAGGAACAAAACTCCGACTCTACAAGAGCATCATTTTGCCAGTTCTTCTTTATGGAGCGGAATGCTGGAGAATGACCAAAAAGGATGCACACAAGCTGTCCACCTTCCACCACACATGTCTACGTAGAATTATCAAATTTTTCTGGCCGGATACAATCTCAAACACTCAACTACTTCAAGTCACAAACCAAGAAACTTCAGACAGTATGATAACCAAGAGAAGATGGAAATGGCTTGGCCTCGTTATGAGAATGAATCCTGATATACCTGCCAAAACAGCTCTCACATGGACACCAGAGGGAAAGAGAAAACAGGGGCGCCCAAAAACAACATGGAGACAAATGATGGAAAGTGACCTGAGTGCGGCATCTTTGACATGGAAAACTGCACTGAAGATTGCACAGGACAGGAAAGCATGGAAAGTCCTCTCTGAAGCCTCATGTGCCACTAGGCATAACGAAAACTGATGATGATAGGCACTGTTCACTCACTCCCAAAGGGCCCTCACAACATCCAGCTTGTCATACATCAGTTCACCACTAACTGGTGCAGAACCAGCCAGTCTATCTGCCTGCTCATTTCACAACACACCGGCATAACCTAGAGAAAATATCCAAATGATGCTAACTACCTGGGACCTTTAAAGTGATGCTTGCCACTCTGAATGAAGCATGCCTGCCTCCACCTTTCTCAACATGCTCTGTGAGTTAAATTAGCTATTAAACTTAACTCCTTTAGTTCCAAGATATGTTTAAAAAAAAACAAAACAAAAAAACTATCCCTTGATTCCCCTCCATAGCATTTTATACTTCCTTACTATTTATTTGTAATTTAGTTTTTTATCAGAACACACCAAAGAAATCTGGCTTTCCCAAATGGTACTAAAGTTAATTGTGTGTCCTTTACAGGACGCTGCAAAATCAACCCCCATAATTTTTTTTACTGTTGTGGCTTTTCTAGGCAATTTTACATTTAGTAGTTTGCCACTGTTTCCAAATGGTCTGCTCTCGACAACACTGTAGAAACGAATGCAAGGTGGTCTGCTGCCTAATTATCTTCAGCGGGGACTGAACCTGACAATCCTAGAACTACAAAGCACATTTGTAATGCCGAAGCCACAGACACTGTTCAGTAGTTTGTAGAAACCAATGCAAGGTGGTCTGCTGTTAAATTTTTCTTCAGCTGGGACTGAACCTGACAACCCTAGGATTACAAAGCACATTTGTAATGTCTAAGCCACAGACACCGTTCAGTAGTTTGCCACTGCATTCTGAAAGGTCTGCTCTCTACATCACTGCAGAAACAAATGCAAGGCAGTCTGCTGCCAAATCGCCTTCAGCTGTGATCAAATCCAACACTCCTAGTCTAAGCCACAGATGCCAACAAATGGTAACTACCACTGTGTATACTGCCACTTTGAAAGTAATGCATTCAAAATTTTACATCACAGTTTTATCCCTCACTTTGGAATCTTCTGTGAATGCTTCTGCTGCTACTAAAAGAGTTAAAGTAATCACATGTAAAAATTGACAAACACTGTTGCCACATTTGTTCCTATTGGCTCTGTTCTGAAATCAAATCTACTAGTTGCAGCAGTGGCTCCCAATTAGCTAATATATGCAGACCTCTCTTATTTGAAAAGTTTTGTTTTAATTGTTTAAAGTCATCCCGAAAAACTTAAAATTTTAAATTATTAGAATCATAAACATAAAAACTGCATTCTGAAATTGTGTGTGAGTGAGTGCGTGTGCGTGTAAATTATATCACAGACACCTTAAATGTTTTCTGCACACTAAATTAGGAAAAAAGATTTAGCAATTTCAATTAAGTCTTCTTTCTGTCTAGGGCCAGTCTGCCACCCTGCAGGGAGAATACAAAAAGGCCCAATGTGAAAATGAACAACTAGAAAGGTCTTAGACTGCATTTATCTTTACATTGGCTCCATTCAGAAGGGGGAAAAAAACTCTTTAAAGCTAAAGAAGGTATACATTCTATTAAAATCAAGCATTTAAAATAAAGAAACAGGTGTGATTCAGGAAAAATGGCAATTGAAAGCGTCTACACTGCCATCAACTGTATTTACACTGGCTCCATGTTGACAGTAAAAAAAGCCACTTGTAAAAGAAAGTATCTCCTCTGTGAGAATCAGTCATATTTAATAAAAGCTGAGCAACAACAAGGTCATTAAAAAAAAAAAAACATGTTCAATGCAGATTTGTAGCCAAGACCTTCATGCAAGAATCTGCAATTCCACAGTTCCCATTAAAAATTAATTAAATTTTAATTAAGATTAATTCAATGTTTAACATTGCTAAAATCAACCATATCATCATCATCAGTTCTCTTATGCCTAGTGGCACAGGAGGCTTCAGAGAGGACTTTCTGTGCTTTCCTGTCCTGTACAATCTTCAGTGCAGTTTTCCATGTCAAAGATGCCGCACTCAGGTCACTTTCCATCGTTCGTCTCCATGTTGTTTTTTTGGCGCCCCTTTTTCTCTTTCCCTCTGGTATCCATGTGAGAGCTGTTTTGGCAGGTATATCAGGATTCATTCACTAACATGGCCAAGCCATTTCCATCTCAAATCAACAAAATACTGTAATAAAAATAAAATTCCCTCAATACCTTTACAAACCTGACTTCACTGACCTGCAGCAAGATTCTAACACAAGACTCATCCCTCTCTGCCGCATAATGTAATGCAGTTCTTTCATAGCCATCAACTTCATTCACCTAAACAAAAGAGTGCAGAATATCCTTCTTTGAATAAAGGTAATGAGCATCCCCAAAATAGCTTCCTTAGTAACCAAAATTCCCAGCGTGTGATCCTGATTCCAATTGGGGGGGGGGGGGGGGGAGAGAGCCCCCAATGCCCCTGAATGAGCATGTCATAAAAGGCGACTAATTCAGGGTTTTCTTAAACTGGACGCGTAGGGCCAAAAAGTGCAGATATTGCGGTCTCCCTTTAAACCACAACACAATGTAGCAACTGCCCTTTTAAGGATAAACACACACCCCAAAAAAAATAAGTCACCAAACCAGAACTACATCTGATGAATCAGATGATTACGGAGAAAAGCATTACTGTCCAGGTTAGAGGTTACTGGAATACAACCTGGAGCCGTCACATAAATAGTTCACTAAAGGCATACACCATTGGATTAATCATCAAAAACAAACAAAAACAAAAAAGATGTGACTGGTCGTTTTATGCTTGTAGAGCTATTGAGGAAGAGATTGGAGTACTGTATGATAGCATTTCATCACTATATGATACCATTTGATTTTCCAACGTCTAGTTTGAGAATGGAAGTGGAGGCAATCATTGCAGCTTTCCGCAGGCTTAAAAACTAACTGCACACATATAAACATGCCATGATTGTAATTCACAAAGCATGCTAAGAATGGTGGTGACAGGCATAACATTACATCTTCTTTCTTCTTCATTTGTTGCCTTTCGTCTCTCAATAAGATAGAGATAGGTCCTCAAACCTCAACTCGCATGGCCAAGCTTTTTTTTGTTGTTAGAACTTCTTCCACATTTCCCCCTTCAGGCTGCTTCCTGAAAGTCTGACCACCCTGTGACTACAAAATTTCAGTCTGGATGGCAAGCCATTAGGGGAAATCCCACATACAATGTTCAACCTCCACAGAAGTTCCAATTGTAGCACCAGTAACAGCTATGTCAGCCTAGTGTAACCTGCAGGGTCAGGAATTGTTGTTACCCTCATTGTTTTTTTTGAAGATCATCTCCAGCACACATTGGACATAACCAAAAGTGCTCTAATCTCCGCCTGAGAATGTCTCCAAGTGTTTCTAGACTAACAACTCTTATTCTGTTCTGGTGGGTGTAATGACAGGTTTTCTTACCTCACTGCTCCAACTGGTACACTCAGGGTATGCAGTCTATTTAGTGAAGAATCATCTGCCACAAAACTAGAAGGCCTCACAGCATGTTATACTCATGCCTGTTTACCTATGTCATTGTTTCCCTGTCAGGATCGCTGTCCTTAGAATTAGCACCTCAAAGATGAGAATCAAACAGAAGCAAATCCCAGAAACCCTGTTTCAACCCATTATAAGATTTTAATTAGGGCAGACCTCTGTGGATAGGAAATAACCTATACCTGTGGGTATAGAATGTTTGCGTCCTCTCTCGTGACTGTTTTATAATTTTGCAGCTACTGTTACATGACAAAGTAAGAATTGTACACAAATCTCCTAGTGTCGCTTGCTACAGTGTTAAATTCTTTTGCTTTTTATAAGGACATTTTAATGCCTGAGGAAAATGATGAACACAAGATGGAATGAATTTAATAAAGGTGAAGAAATAAGACAAATATTGATAAATACTCGTATCAATAGTTATAAATACAAGAAGATGGCCAATATATATGGGGAAAAAGACCGAAAATTACAAACAGTCACTGAAATTTGGAAACAAATGGACTCAGGAATGAGGACATTCAAGAGAAACCCTAAGATGAATGCTGCTGAGAGAGACCAAAGCCTACTAACATTAAATTTCATCCATGATTATGAAAGGAAGGCAAAGGATAGAAAGGAATGGAAGTTTAAATTGTGAGCCCTATGTGACATCTAACGGCACAACAGCATGATGATGATGGGTACAACACAAGCCATGGATACAACACAAGCCCTGGATACAACACAAGCCATGGATACAACACAAGCTATGGATACAAACACAAGCCATGGATACAACACAAGCCAGGGTAGAACACAAAGCCATGGGTACAACACAAGCCATGGGTACAACACAAGAAAATTCAAGCCATGGATAAACCAAGGCCCCAAAATACAAACAAGCCATGGGGCAACAAACCGGTACAAACACAAGCCATGGAAAACACAAGTCATGGTCAAAACAATCGGAAAACCAAGCCTGGGGCCGGGGGTTTACTGAGTTGAGATAAGCCAAAAAAGTTTTTGGGCATGGCCTAATTGCCCAAACCCCAGGCAGAGAACTATAATACTGTAGTCACTCCATATGGTGATGCAAAAGAAACATGGCAAAATACTTTTTCAAGAAAACCAAAAATTTAAAAATTCACATTAACAAGACAGTCAAATTCTTCTGACACG